AATATCTTACAAAATACTCTTTAAGATTTATTACAACTTTAAGAAACAAAATTACGATGAGAAAACATTTACCTATTTTCATTTTCTTTCTTTCACTAACTTACAGCTACGGTCAGATTGAAGTTTCGAGAACTCTTGAAGATGCTATAAATAAAGCAATAGAAAAGAGTGTTTCATTAAAAAATAAAGACCTGGATATAGAGAAATTAAATCTTCAGGAAAAAGGTGTTTGGAACAAGTATATCCCTACTGTTGAAGCCAGCGCGCTATATACTTATTTTGATAATAAACTAATCGTCGATCTTCCTACGGCTACCATACCTATTGTAAATTATCCATTATTTGATGGGAAAACGGCTTTTAAAAATTACGGAAATATTTTTAACGGAAGTGTAATGGCCAAAACAGTTCTCTTTAGCGGAATGCAAATCCCGAACGGAGCCAAGGCAATTCAAGAAAAAACTAAAGGAACTGAATTTTTAAAAGAATCTGAAAAAGATCAAATCATAAAAGACGTCATTAATACATTTGACCAACTTGAGCTATTAAAACAAATAGACCAACTTATAAAAGATAGCGAAAACCGACTGGAAACAGAAACCAAACGTGTTACAAAAGCCATAGAACAAGGACTTGCTGTTCCGTATGACAGAGATAAAATTAAATTGGCATCATTAGAACTGGCTTCAAAAAAAATTGAACTGGACGGAAAACGAAGATTGGTTTATAAAAAGATTCAATATCTGACAGGATATTCTATTGCTGAAATTGAGCAAGTTCAATACAATTTGGTTCCGTATTTAATTACAGATGAAAAATTAAGCACGCAAAACAAGCAGGAGATAAAAGCTCTGGAGTCGTTTAAAACCGCTTACGAATATTTATTAAAAAAGGAAAAAGGCACTTACTTACCTACTTTAGGCACGTTTGGAGGTGTTTCCTATTCGAGTTTATTTAATGCAAATGCGACAACACCAATCATTACAGGAATAAACGAAGCTTTATATTTAGGATTAAACGAAGCAACGATTAGCAACAACTGGGTTGTGGGCGCGGCCATGAAATGGGAAGTTTTTTCAGGTTTTGAAAGAAAACACAAAGTACACGAAGCCAAGATAAACATAGAACAAGTTCAGAACCAGATCGACGATACCAAAGAAAAGTTAGAATTACTTCTCGAAAAAAACTTTGTTGATTATAGCGTTCTGACTCAAAAAATCGACATTACGCAACAACAGGAAAAAGTAGCAGGCAACAATTTGAATCTGGCCATAAAACAATACAAAGAAGGTTTGATCAACATATCTGAACGTTTGGAAGCCGAAAATGATTCTTATAAGGCATCGGTAAATAAAACCACTACTTTAATCGAACAGCGATTATCAGCCATTGAAACCATCATTGCTACCGGCGATCTATCAAAAAAA